GTGGTCCCTGGCGAAGGGAATCAGATGGAAGGAAGGGAGAAACCCTGAGAGGTGATTGCAGTTTCAAAGAGTGTAGTCAGACAAAGCCTCATTGAAAGGTACAGTTTGAGAAGAGGCTTGAAGGAGGTGAGGAGCGTTTTTTAGGCTTCGAACAGCAAGTGGGCTCTGGGGGTCTGGGGTGGAGTGAATGAAAGGGAGCATAGCAGTGGATCAGGTAGAGCCAGAGTCTGTGAAGCAGTACAGCTTGTTTTTGTGAATAAAGTTTTATTAAAACAGAACTAATGTCCATGTGTTCTCCTATTTTGCATGGCCACGTTCATGCTACAAGTGCAGAGTGGAGCTGTGGAGATAGAGACAATCTGGCTCACACACAGTTATGTATTTACCATCTATTGGTCTTTTTAAGGAAAATGTGTATGTCCCCTATCATGGATAGAGAAAGGCAGAAAATGGTTAGGGATTATTATTTTAGAGCAGAAATGGGGGTATGGAGTTAGAAGTGGGTAGGTTCTAGATGTGATGTGAAGAGAGGGCAGATGAAATTTACTAAAATTCCAAGTGTGTAATTGGGAGAGAGAGAAAGGAGTCAAAGAATGTCAAAGGTTTCTGGCCTGGACAACTGGAAAGATGACCCTAAGGAAGACAAGGAAACTGTGTATAGACCGGACACCCCACCCCCACTTATAGGGGAAGGAGAGCAAATAGAAGATTCCTTCTCAAATGTGTTCAGAAAGAAGATACAAAGAAAAGAAAAAGACACATTTGGACTAGAGGCCATGTCCCCATTCTCCACCTGTCCTACAGACTACTCCCTCTTCCTATGGCCAGATGTCCCTCCCCCATGAACCTTGAGATTGCTTCTCACTCAAACACCAACATAGCAAGCAAAGACACCAGGTGCCATGGTATTTACAGGGGACTCACAGTCTGCCTCAGAGTCTTAACTAGTTTGGGGGAAATGAAGCTCTGCTTCAGGGAACAGAAACCTGCAACGTTCTCAATTTAAAATAATTATGTTATCCATTCAAGATTTCAGAAAGATGCAGGCAGCAGTGCAGTTTGGAGTCTCCCAAAACAAAGAGAAGAAAAAGACACGTTTGGCCTAGAGGCCATGGAAATAGATGAAAGAAAGCCAAACCCTGGAGTAGCATTTACCACAAAAGTAGAGAACACAGTGTTTTCTAGGGACCTCAGAACAAGAGGATAGGGCAAACCACCAGCAGGAGGCACCAGACCTGCCTGGCAGCAGCACTTGCAGCAGAGGAAATGGGAGACAGGAGGCTTTGAAAGCTCCAGCAGGCATTCCTGCAAAGCACTGTGGGCCAGCAGAAGAGCAGCTGAAACTGAGAGGGGTTCTGGCCAACCCCAAAGTGAGTGCAGTAGGTGTCCTACAATGTGTACTATACGTTTTATAATCAATATGGTACAACAGCTATTTACATAGCATTTACATTGTAGTTATGATAAGTAATTAGAGAATTAGATTTAGATAATTTGAATGTGTGCAGTCTCTCTTCAACTCTGTGGAATTTGGTGTCTTTGCGGGGTCCTGGGTGCAATTCTCTGTGGAAACCGAGGAGCAGCTGTAATTACAAATGTGCCACATTCAAATCGGAAGGGCTGACGCTGTCCAGCCCCTAAACTCTCTTGAAAAATGAACAGCCAATGCTCTTTTTTCAGGACAAGGCCTCACCCAGAGGAGAAATCACTGGGAGGAACAATAGACACAAAGGATAAACCTCCCTGTGGAAACAGCCAGAAAATTTTAGAAAATAAGTCGACATGTTTTTAATACTTCAAGAAGGAAGAGGAGGAGGAGAAGGAGGAGAGCAAAGGGAGAATGGAGAGGGACAGAAGTGGAGGGAAGAAGAGGTGGAGGAAGGAGAGGTGGAAGTTGCCGTTCCATCACATAAGAAACTCTATCCTCAACCATACTTTTACAAAGAAAATAAATTTTGCATAAAAGTGCATAGCAAGAAAAGAAGGAAACCAAATCCCAAATAAAGGTATTCTAAGAAACAGGAGAATAGCATCCTCTTAGACGACGAAAACAAGTCAGAAAAGACCCCCTAAGCACATCAGATGGTAGCCCACTCTTTCAAAACTAGCTAAAAGACAGAAGGCCAAGCAATGCAAAATAGGACAGAACCTGAGAGGGGAAAAGAAAATTATATCATGTATATAGCTTTCTGTTTGGGATGGTGAGAAGTTTTGGATTTGGATAGTGGATAATGCTTGAACAACATGGTGCATCTACTTAATGCTATAGAGTTATCCACATAAAAATGGTTGAAATGTTGAGTTTTATGTTTCATAATAAAAAAGAACAACATAAATGGAGATTAGGTGAGATGGTAGAAATCAACATAAGACTAATCTAAAAGGGAAAACATGAATGAACATAATAGATGTCTAAAAAGAAAGAATAATGAATTTTTTTTTAAAAAAGGAAAAACATGATAAAAAATATCCTAGAGACCTAGTAAATAGGAAAAGCAAGAAAGCCAGGCAAATTCTACAAAGAAGAATGCAAATACACATAGGAATTTAATATGTCATAGAGGTTACATTTCAAATCTGTGGGCCAGATAATTTAACAAATTGTGATACATACATTTTGGGGTTAAATATCTCTGGAAGTTTCCAAAATGTGGGAAAAGGTGATGTCTCCTGTGGGAAGAGTGGTGAAGATGGTGACTGGCAATTTTGAGGGAATGGGTAAAAGCTGTTGGGGCTGCTGGGTCCTGCAGCTGTTGGCAGGTTGCTCTTTGCGCATGCGCACTGTGCTTGCGTTGGTGAAGATGGAAGCCAAGGAGTGATGTTTTCTTGTGAGCTTCGGTTCATGGCAATGGTCCCTGAAGACAGCGCTTGCCAGAATCAATGGAAGAGGACCTGACAGGCTTCTCAGTTCAGTATTTATCCTCCTTCCAAGTGTGATCTCTCTCCTTCACCCTCTACCCCAACATCTCTATGCTGTGCTCTGAAAACCAGGTTGGCTGCCTGCAGGGGGCCCTTGCCAACACTGAGGACTTGAGGACACAAGCCTCAGATTGAGGCCTTGCTTCTCGACCATTAGTAAAGTGACAGAGTGATACTGGCCTTGTGTGTGAAGGTTAATTCAAGTAGTGCCTCTCTGCTGCCCTGGTGCATGGGTGTTGAGTCAATGGTGATTTATTCCAGGCCATGTTCTGGGTGGGCCTCACGCTGCTGAGTTCACTTGGCCAAGTCCCATGTTATCAGCTTCGCTCAGGGTAACTATGAACCCTCTGACATCCCTGGTAGATTCCCTGTGTTTTGTATTCACCTTTCCCAGCTAGGATCTTAAGTGACCCAAAAATGGTGGACTGAATCTTATTTTATAAAATGCCTTTCAAGTAGGCCAAAAACTAGGCCATTATCCATGAGAGTTTTTTGTTTGATTTTTGCATTTCTTCTGGTCAACCTGAACCCGTCTCCTATCATTTTCAACTTGCTTGACATTTTATCATTTTAACCCTAGTTTCAAACATTGTGTCAGCCATTTTGCCAATTCCTGATTCTTCCAGTAAACCCATACCAATCTCTTCTTTTTGCCTTCCTAGTGCTGGAATACATGCCTTCCTCTTTCCCCCATTCCTAGCCTTTACTTCTATTATCCTGGCCAAATTTGAGTTCCTTTCTTCTCATGCAGGCTGTGATCCCCACTGCCACCAAAATAAACCACACTTAACAGCCATTCAAACTCAAAATTTTTGTTTATTATCTATTAATCAATTCCATTACATTTTTTTATTCAATTTTATTAAGTTTTAAAAGTATATTGGAATGAGTACATATTCATATGTCTATGAGGACAAATGTTTGATAGCCAAGTGCTAACACAGACCTCTTTATTATCTATTAACCAATTCTATGGAATTTCTTCATTCAATTTGACTAAACTTTAAAATATATTAGAATGAATACATTTCTATCTTTGTATCTACATATTTATAAAATTTGCATCTACACATGTGGAAAACTATGTGATGCCCAAGCAGTACCAGAAAGCATCTTTATTACTTATCTCTCAAACAATACTATTACATTTCTTTATTCAACTATATTAAGTCTTAAACATATATAAGTGAACACTTTTGTATCTATGTACTTCTCTGTATATATATGTGGAAAACTATTTGATATTCAAATGGCAATATAGAGCCTCTTTATTACTTACCCTCTAATCAATACTATAGCATTTCTTTATTAAACTATATTACCTTTTCAACTGTGAATAAATTCTCATGTATCTATCTATGTGTATATGAGAACAGTATTTGGTACCCATATAGTACCCAAAGACCTCTTTATTTTCTAACAATTCTCAGTGGTTCCAGAAGGCCTCTTTATTATGTATTAGGGAATAAAATTACATTTCTTTGTATAAGTTTATTAAATGTTGAAAGCATCTGAGAATAAATAAATGTGTATCACTCTATCTATATACATGTGGAAAACTATTTGGTCCCCATGTGGCACCACTGATCTTAGCAGCTCTTACATTATGTAGCCATAGTAGCGAAAAATCTCCATCTCTCTTTCCCTCTCAATGAAACACTGCACTCTCACCAAAGCAGTGTACTTGGCAGCATTCTCACGCTCTTGTTGAGCCTTCTTCTTCATGGCTTCCCTCTCTGGCCTCTGCTGTTTGGTGATGGGAGTTGATACTACTTGCCCAGGAACATTAGGTTTCCTCCATGGAATTGGTTGTAAGGCAAAGTCTTGGAGGAGATATTGGTTTTGAGGCTTGGGTGGTTGTGACTG